ACAGACATAAAGACATACAGACATACATACATACATACATACATACATACATACATACATACATACATACATACATACATACATACATACATACATACATACATACATACATACATACATACATTACATACATTACATACATTACATACATACATACCATAACATAACATAACATTACATTGAATTACATTACATTACATTACATTACATTACATAACATTACATACATTACATTACATTACATTACATTACATTGCATTACATTACATTACATTACATACATACATTACATACATTACATACATTACATACATTATATACATACATACATAATGTAAACACATAAAATTGGTTGGGTAGATAATATAATCATATTGATCAATGGGCATCATCATTGCTGAATACATTTGAATGTCAATCCATGAGTTGAGTAGTCATGAACCAACCTCAAAAGGTAAACTAGGCCTTGCTATTTTGCATCACTCGGGGAGGAGGTAAGCGACCATGATGAGCCACTGAATCTCAAATGTGAGTAATAAATACTGTAAAACAAGGATAATAATTATGATCCTTTGTTATCATAATCATATGTAGTTATATTATAAATTATATATTATATATTATAAATCACATATTATATATTATATTTTATATACATATACTAAGTGGTTAATTAATAAAATATCATATCATATGTGGGAAATTAATAGAACTACGTAACTAAGTATGATCCCAGTAACGGATGTTTCGTCACGAAAAACCTGGTGAATTCATTCACCAACATAGCTGTGTTTGTCTCTGCACGCAATATCATACAAATAATAAGATATTATAATGTGTATACATATATATATATATACATATATCTGGGTAAATTACAATATTTCACTAACCTGAATTAAGGCCATATTGGGATGATTTCCCTTACTAACCATCATTCCCAGTGAGGTCGCAGTGAGGTCGTTATAATTTACCCATATATAAATACAGTATATATATTGGCAATATGAATGGACATGCAACCAAGCAGAGGCACTTGGAAGGCTTGGTAACCAATGTTATGAAGGTAGACCTGATAGAACCCCTGGATAGGTTAAAAGGATGTAATAAAACATAAATACTTGCTGTCTCATTCATCCACGCAAATATGAATATTGTAAAATGGCAAATAGTTCTCAAATTCAATAACTATCACACGTAGTATACCCAAGAAACGTGGCGAAGTCACAGTCAATCATTGGTATATTATTCAATATTAGACATCAACAAGAATCATAAGCGTACAAACAGAACATAATGATTGAATATACTAAATATACATCTAAATACAGAAGCTGCAGCTTCAACAATGTGAGTATCCTGAATAAATATTCAAACAAACTTAATACAGGTTGCTGAACAGGATCCATATGTTCATTCATATGAGCGCTCATATGATGGTTACATACTTCCTTCTCTAGCATGGGCGGCATTGAAACCATGTACAATCTACGAAATTAGTCAGTTGGTTGCTTCGTCACCGGTAGGTCTCGTCAGCTGGTCAGCTACTTCGTTGCAGCTCGTCTCTTTTAGCCGAACTAAGCAGCTGATATGAACTGCTGCCACATGGCTGGTGACTTTCCACGGGTATTCGGAGTGCGGCTGCGAGGTGTCTGGCGCGGATTGGGCGTAGCGCTGCGGCGCTGAGAGGCTCCGCGGGCACTCGTCGGCGTGCGCAGTTTTGAAGCACTTCGGGTCCTGTGCCAGGGACACTCCGCTGGTATGGCCCATGGGTCAGGCAACCTTTGGCATCGGAGAAAAGACGTATTTTAACATATTTTAACTCAGAAGAAAATAGAGGGAATACATTAAGTCAATATATGTTAATTAATATTATATTATATTGATATACAATAGGAGATCCATGGAGAACTTAAGTCAGCGAGATGGCGGGTGACAGCATTGGACATTGAGCCAATGTATTCCCTCGCGCTCCAAACATCCTGGATGCTTCAGGTTTGTGTACATGTCAAACTTAGATTCCCAGAAACAAACTATATAACTCCACAAAATGACCAACGTGATTTCAATTTGCAGGTGACCTTGATGTATTTCTCAGGCTACCTTGATGTATTGCAGATAAAGGAGCACCACATGTCCGATCGCATTTGTTGATGGAGGTTACATTCCTATTTCATGCGACTATAGCCTATAGCTCAGTTTGTTTGTTGCTAGTTGTTGGCAGTACAGTACATAACCAATGGCACGTCTGATCCGTGAGCAAACACGAATGAACAGAAACGACTCGACTCCGTTTATTTTGGCACATGCCCATATGACATCAAATACCCTCTGGCAATTTAACATAGCTATTGAAAGTTGCCATTTATAGTGAGTTTTCCCATTAAACATTGTGATTTTCCATAGTTATGTAAACGTTTACCAGAGGGCATCATCAAATTGATTCAAAGTGCCTTTCTGGATCGATAGTGGCTTACCATTTGGTCATTTTGAGGCAAGCAATCCATTTTGCTTCCTGCATCCTCCCTCCCGCCTGGGAGGCGTCTTGGGTTCGGATGTGGCACGCTTGCCGGAGCCCTCAGAGATAAAGTTGGTGGTTCAAGGGGTACTCTCCCGGGATTGGTGCAGTAATGATATGGGAAAAAACTGAAAAAACTTGAGAGGGGGGGGACGAAAGGTGGGGGGGGGGGCAAAAGATACTACTACTACGACGACGACGACTACTACGACGACTACTGCTACGACTCCGACTACTACTACTACTACTACTACTAGTTCAATATATTGCATTCCATTGTTTTGCGAGACAGTTTCAACCATAGGATTTCCTGTGTAGGTGTTCATGGATAAACCGTTTAGGCGCTTGCTCATACGCTGATCGGTTTCTAACAATTGTTGTTCGCAAATTGCGCTCCATAAATTTCATATATTTCTGTACCAAAAACAATACTTTCTGTGGACCCAGTGGGAGAACCTCCACAGAGTCAACCCCTAACTTGGTTGACCCTCTGGAGGCCCCTCCACCGGGTCCACGTATTTGGCGTTCGGAACGTAATTGTACAGAACAAAAAACGATATGTTATGTATACTTAGTAGAAATCACAAGGTTAAGGTCAACAACTAACCAAAAACATTAGTTTCTGTGGACCCGGTTGGATTTTATGTAAACTTGCTAGAAATCACAAAGTCAACAACTAACCAAAAACAATAGTTTCTGTGGACCCGGTGGGAGAGCCTCCACAGAGTCAACCCCTCACTTGGTTGACCCTCTGGAGGCCCCTCCACCGGGTCCACGTATTCGGAGTTCGGAACGTAATTGTACAGAACAAAAAACGATACTTTATTTAGACGTGGCGGAAGCGCCTCCACAGCGTCAACAACTAGCTCAGTCGACTCCCTGGAGGCCCGTCCAACGAGTCCGCGTGCTGACAGCACGGTATACCTACAAGAATAACGATTCATTCACCAACAACAAGCACACAAACATTCCAGCTGCTTGGGTGAGCTTTTCAAACTCCAAAAGTTTCTTTCCAACCGATTCTTGTCCAAAATGCCTACCTTATACATCTAACGTTAGAAATCGGCAAACTCTTCAACGCAATTTCCACGAAGTCATGAATCTAATGATCTTCGGCTATCTGTAGCCAAATGTCTTGTTCAAATCTTTCTCAAGGAATGATCTCCGAGACATGCAAATCAAAACTAGAGCAAAGAATTTCCAGTTCAAGTCTCCCACAAACCTTGCCCCAACTGACTAGCAAGCATTTCTAACTACCAGCCTCGCATTTACTACGTAAATGCTACCTTTTCTACGACCTACGCACCACACAGACTCCCTCAAAGTAACTACGTGACGCTTACGCGCTACCTATAGTCATATATACATGTGCTATGCATCTACTTCCTATTTAATACTATTGTGTAGATAGATAGATAGATAGATAGATAGATAGATAGATAGATAGATAGATAGATAGATAGGATAGATAGGATAGATAGGATAGATAGGATAGATAGATAGGATAGATAGGATAGATAGGATAAATAGATAGGATAGATAGATAGATAGATAGATAGATAGATCGATAGATCGATAGATAGAGCGATAGATAGATAGATAGATAGATAGATAGATAGATAGATAGATGGAAGGATAGATAGATAGATAGATAGATAGATAGATAGATAGATAGATAGATAGATAGATGGATAGATAGATAGATAGATAGATAGAAGGATAGATAGAAGGATAGATAGATAGATAGATAGATAGACAGATAGATAGATAGATAGATAGATAGATAGATTAGATAGATTAGATAGCTTAGATAGCTTAGGTAGATAGGTAGATAGATAGATAGATAGATAGACAACTAGATAGATAGATACATAGATAGATAGATGGATAAGGAGGTAAGTACATAGTCAGAGAAAAAGAGGGGGGGAGATGCGGACCAGGGGGGAATCGAATGGGGGGGGGGCCTCCCCCCTAAGTGGAGATTCAATACTCTCAGCTCTCAATTTCCGGGAAAGGAGCAGCCACCTCCCCCAGTACTAAACTAGTACTAAAGTACATAGAACTCAGGTAGCCTAGGCTACCTTTCGTGACATGAAATGAGGAGGCTGATGTTCATGCTCTTGTTGACTGGAGAGCGAAGAAATGCGAAGAACCAGAAAAAAATGATCATGACAATGGCGATGATTGTGGAATATTGCGGAAACTTGCGAACACACACACAAAGACCAGTTCCGCTTGGAGCTAAACATTCACCAAATTTCAGAACACAATCATAGCGATGGCCGACACAGCCTCACCAAGCGGCTATGAACTATTGTGAACTATCGGAAACTATCGTGAACTATTGTGAACTATTGTGAAGATTTCAGATTTGTGAAGTGCTTCTGAGTGGCTGGTGACTTGACAGTCCTCGATTGAGATCTCCCTGCTCCACGTGGATTCGGAGTGCTGCGGGGAGACTGGCGCGGATTGGGCGTAGCGCTGCGGCGCTGAGAGGCTCCGCGGGCACTCATCGGGGTTGGCGGTTTCGAAGCACTTCGGGTCCTGTGCCACGCGCTGGTGGCGGCCCAAAATGGGTCCCAGGATCAGGATCACTTAAGTTGACCATGGGTGTGGATTCACACAGGGTGGCATCTTCGGATCCATTGGGTATCTGAAAGGTTTATCGTAGTGGGAACGCGGGACAATGGAATCTTTGAGGAGTACGGGATAAACCTGGCTTTACTGCGACTCAACGAAGATTTCATCGTACATAGAAACTCGTTCACCTGACACCAGCCTGGCGAACCGTCCTTTTCATCACTGATAATTTATGATAGTTTCATAACTAGTATCCAAAACCATGGGCAGCAACTTGCACAGCAACATTATTTATCTGTGACGTAGGCTTAAGCGGGCCAAAACGTAAGCTTAAGTGAGGTACTGACCCACGGACGCACTGAATCGCTATGAATCGTTCGGGTCTATCATATCACAACCGACAGTAGCTGTTGTTGCCACATGACTCTTAGCCAGAGCCAATTCAATGCCCCGGACACAGTTCAACAGTAAATAAACACGCAGCGATTTGGATTCTCACCTTCCACGGATTTTCGTCAGGGGAGTAAACAGCTGTTTAGGGAGACAAGCATTTGCCCAAATTTTAAACAACAGACTCCACAAAATACCACAAGGTACGATACCAGCGCGTTTGAAGTCTGAAGGTGACCTTGATTGATTTCTTCCACTACTGTTGTTGTTAGTTCTCATTTTTGAGCGATTCAATCCCAAGTCTTTTTGTCCCAATGGATCTCTGGTTTGTAATCTCCAATTCGAAGTCACTGCCAGTTTGTGCAGGTTATCACATATTCCGGCAAATGGTTGCAGTGTGGGAGCACTGCCCATTGGAGTAAAGCCTTTGAACTGTGGACTACTCAGGTTTATATATTGGCAGCTATTGGTTGTGCACAATCCATTGTTTGTCAAGATGCCACTAATTACGCGGGGAACGCTCATACAATCATAAAATACACATATCACTTGATGGCTCGGGAACTGGCTTACCATTTGGACACCACATTTGGTCATTTTGAGGCAAGCAATCCATTTTGCTTCCTGCATCCTCCCTTCCGCCTGGGAGGCGTCTTGGGTTCGGATGTGGCACGCTTGCCGGAGCCCTCAGAGATAAAGTTGGTGGTTCAAGGGGTACTCTCCCGGAGGGATTGGTGCAGTAATGATATGGAAAAAAAATGAAACAACATGAAATGAGGAGGCTGATGTTCATGCTCTTGTTGACTGGAGAGCGAAGAAATGCGAAGAACCAGAAAAAAATGATCATGACAATGGCGATGATTGTGGAATATTGCGGAAACTTGCGAACACACACACAAAGACCAGTTCCGCTTGGAGCTAAACATTCACCAAATTTCAGAACACAATCATAGCGATGGCCGACACAGCCTCACCAAGCGGCTATGAACTATTGTGAACTATCGGAAACTATCGTGAACTATTGTGAAGATTTGTGAAGTGCTTCTGAGTGGCTGGTGACTTGACAGTCCTCGATTGAGATCTCCCTGCTCCACGTGGATTCGGAGTGCTGCGGGGAGACTGGCGCGGATTGGGCGTAGCGCTGCGGCGCTGAGAGGCTCCGCGGGCACTCGTCGGGGTTGGCGGTTTCGAAGCACTTCGGGTCCTGTGCCAGGGACGCGCTGGTGGCGGCCCAAATGAAGTACCAATCATTCACGGACGCACTGAAGCGATATGAATCGTTCGGGTCTATCAATCTATCAATCTATCATCTGACATCATCGAAATGGAGAAAACACAGAGAATGTGCTTTAAAATTCATATGACTTTTATGTCAGATTTTCCATTGCAATGCTTGATTAGTAGGGGTTAAGGCTATTCCATCCTTGCAACTAAGAACGTTGCAGAAACTTTTAGACATGCTGGATGGTTTGACTAATTTACAACTGGCAAATCGTCCGTACTATTTCCAGTGATTTGTATTGTGCTGCATTCAACTAGTAGGGTCAATCATCATTCGAATTTGTCTCAAAATGTGGTACCCTGTTCAAATCCCTTGTTCAAAAAAAACATGGTCCCGTTCATATTCCCTATTAAAAATGGACCATGGCCATGGTAAATCACCCAGTGTAAGACACATTTCTGCTAGCAACTTCCTGGTACCCACCACCACCTGGCGGGTGGACTCTTTCCGAACTTGCCACGCTTCAAGATAGAGCCCTGCGACAGTGAGAGAGCATCATCCATGATGTAACCCATGATGTAAGTCATGTCTTGGGGAGGTTTAGTTTGCCATCTTTGCTGGCGAATTGTGGCTACATATTCCAATATATTCCAAATTCATCCTTTAAATTAATGCACTTTCATCAAGAAGACGTAGGATTTTGCGTGATTTTGAATTGTCATAAACTAGAATGAAGGAGTTCACGTATACAAAAACTTTGGGAACGCCGGGATGCCCACCGAATGTTTGAGAGGACTCGCGTTTTAGAGAGCGATCATGATCACCAAAAGAGCGATGAATCAAGAACGGAATAGAACAGACTATTTAACTACCAAGAATATCAAGAATTGGGAATTAATCTCAAAGAAATCGAGACTGATCAAAACTATGAATGTGAGCACCACCAAAGAACATGTTCACTCCTCATTTCTCTTGGTGTATGGGAAACTCAATTGTTTGTTGTTTATCCCAAAATTGTCCAGGTCCACTCACAATTCTTGAAAGTCAACTCACCTATCTCACCTCATGTTTGAGTTTTGGGTGAGTCTGAAAATAGATACATTTAAAATCAAGTATACCTCCATTTTATGGCAACGTTACGGTTATTCACGATGCATAACCCATGAGTTTTTTAGGGCCGCGGCCTTTCGCTGAAATCCAAATTTTCTTCACCAGTTTTGCCGATTTTCCCAGATTTTCCCAAGATCTTCCCAGGATTTTCCCATATTTTCCCATGATTTTCCCATGATTTTCCCAGTGAACTCCACCCTTTTGGATCCCTTTTTGTTGCTGCCGCCCCCATCCCATGGCACCGGTGACACGATCTCCGTGGGGGCCGCAGAGTCCGCCGAGGAGGGCGAGCCCAGGTTCTGCAGCCGCGCGGTGGCCAGGCGATAAGCCTTAGGCCATGGGGGGAAAATCATCACAGGTACTGTACAGATGTGATGTATGTCTATATATATGTATATGATTATATGTATATATAGATATTGTATTCAAACTATAGCAACCATATATATATATATGTATGATACATTATGATACTATCTTATATATTTTTTTTAAAGAGGGAGAGAGAAAGACAGACAGAGAGAGATCGATTCATCAGGACAAAAACGGATATGTTTCAGGACGAACTGAAAAAACAACCATGCATTTAGCTGGAAAATTGATGAGTGAATCTGCCAAAATGGGAGAATGAGGCACAATGAAGCTGTGAGAAAAAGGGAGGTAGCAGATCTAGTTGGCATTTGACCAGCAAACATGTTAAATTCTACCAAGAGACATGGGAAATTAATCCAGAAACATTGAGTTTTGAGCTTGAAACAAATTGGGAGTTGCCTTGTTTCAAGAACACAAAATGGAGTTCTTTCAAGAAGCAACTGGTGATAGTGATACCAGCAAAACCGGGAGAGCTGCTCACAGTTGGTCAACATTGGAATGGAGATTTGGCAACAATCTAACCCCAAAAGAGCATCAGCGTTTAGTGGTACCAAATAAGTATGGATCACGACTACTGGAACCAAACCATGGAATGGTAAAGACTAAAGTTACCGACATCAGCGGGCCGTGTGGGGCCTTAGATTTTAGGATCCAAAGAGTCTCAAATAATTTTTTGTGTATCAATTCCCAGCCATCCAATCAAATAAGAACTTTCAATGTGTCCTAATTTATATACTATATATATATATGATTATGTGTATATATATATATGATTATATATATGTATATATATATATATTCAAGATTTGGCAAGTGAACGTCGTGATTCTATGCAAATACTTTGAATGGTTCCAAGTGCTAGTGGATGCCCTCTGACTCGCTGGAGCTTGCAAGTCATCCGTATCAGATTTGTCAGATCTGATCATCGTCGCATTGTCCCAGGTAGGTCCCAAATTCTATTGGGCATCTTTTTCCCCATTAATTGGGCGTGACTATACGCCCATGAATGTTGGTGCCACTGAATAATCTGATGTAATTGTGGATCGATTACAATACTTCACCAACCTCAAAAGTTCAGCCATTTGGGGAAAATTATATACCAATCCTAAGCATCATTACAGATCCTTGAAACATCTTGAAGCCACCAACATCCAAGCAGCCATTGCATGTGGCGACCGGCGCGGGCTCAATCCCTGGCGTTGACCTCAAGTAATGAACCTCCTTGGCCTGTGGGCCTTACGAACCAAGGAATATCCAACGTTTAAGTTTTATTTATGGTTTTATTTAGTGTATATGGCTTTGTCAAAAAATGTGGGATGCCTCATAATTACATATAAATTACATCATTGTAACTGATGTAACTGTAGAAATGATGATCAACCATCAAATTTGGGGCTATTTTCAGACCAAGCCATAGGGGCTCAATATTCTGATACCTCGACTTTCGAACAGAAATGACCACGACATATATAAAACTTTTGGATGACTGAATAGCCTTCTGTATATTTTGCTAGATTTCTTGCACAGCCCTGTTGAAAGATGGATCAGTTTGATGGAGAGTGCTGGACATCTCCAGAAAGGTGGATATGGAACACATATCCATGTATCAACCATGGTTGGTCACATATATCATATATGCCCATTATTAATCCACATTCTATCCCCATGCTATCCACATAAAAATGTTTGCTGTTATAGAATATACATATAATTTTCTTAGCTTAAGATATACAATTTTTTAGTTCCCATGGTTAAGAAACCCTCAACCTTTATAGTTATCATGGTAACATCACCATCCCACAGCTGCAGCCAGGTGTCATTCGGCTTCCAATTGTTCAGGCCGCAGCGTCAGCAACGACTGCACCGCAGCACCACAGACCTGGTGAAGTTTTTTTCCGTTGGGACGTTAGAAGGTCTACTTAGGAGGTGCAATAAAGTCTATGATAATGGTATAATAACCATTATAAATGGCATTATAATGATGGTATAATGATGATATAATGATGGTATAATGATGGTATAATGATGGTATAATGGTCTGTATAATCATGGTATCATAATCTGTAAAGTAGTTTTGTGGTTCAATAAATGCACAATGGTATACTTAGAGGGTCTACAATAATGGTACAATAATGTATAATAAATGGTATAATGGTCCACCACCATATGGTATAATAATGTAACTATAATAATGTATAATAATGTATAATAATGGTCCGCCACCATATGGAAAAGAAAAAAACATGTCTACTTAGAAGGTGTTGCCCCACCTCTATTTTGCATACTATATATATATATACAAATTAGTATACAGTATAGAAATAAATATGTGTGCGTGTCTGCGTGTTATTTGTATGTGTATTCTATGGTATGCGTATCTGGCAATGTATGTCTATAACGTCTATAGTGTGTGTGTGTAGATTGTATACATTTATGCAGCTAGAATTCCAACAGAATGGTAAACAGCCTCGATGTTCTTGATATATGGTTGATGTTGGTTTACTTTCCATTCTGCTTGCCACATCTCCCTCATCCTTGCTGTTTAAAACCCCTGTTTGGTTGATAATATTGCTCTTATGATTAGATGTAATCTCTATCTCTTTGTCTATATGTGTATATATATATATAAATACATCTCTCTCTCTCTCTCTTTCTCTACTGTATATATGTATATAATATGTATATATATATATATGTGTGTGTACATAAATATATATATATATATTATGTATATATATATAATATGTATATATAATATATATAATATGTATGTATATATATAATATGTATATATAATATGTATAAATATATATATATATATGATATGTATATGTATATAATATGTAAGTGTATATATATAATATATAAATAGACTATTCTCCATCTATCCTGTTTCCAACCTCACTCTTTGACTGATTATAAAGCCTGACAAATTGTGAGACAGAACATGACCTTTCCAAACGGCTGGTTATATACCAGTGATAATGTGATACCCTATTTCTGGCTGCTTAACCAACCACTTCATACAATATTTTTGCAAATGGACCATGGTATAGTATAACATAACCAACCATTCGCACACCCCAACCACTTCTCTTGTTTAAAAATACATACACCATTTATATCAGGTTGGCGGTTTAACCCCGTCTCAAAAAAATGAGTCACCTCAACCAATCATCCCAAGTCTTAATCCCCGACCAGATATACACATATATACCCCATATTATATACACGTTAAACAAATGGCAAACAAAGATGGAACCTTATCTATCTTTTTGGGGCTTACTTGCTACATATATATAAATATATATACATACATATATATTATATACATACATACATATATATATATATTATATATATACGTATATGTTCATACACCATTTTTACACCTTTCTAGCGAAAAAGTCTGCGTCCAAGTCACTGCAGAGAGTCCCTCCTTGAGATCAGGTCTGGCCGAGGCAGGGCTCTTGCAGCGCAGCCGCTTGGGAGGGGTGACCGCCGGCTCTTGGGGCCTGGCAGAAAGCCGGGATCGAAGTGATTTTCACCATATTGAAGCTATAAAAATATTTAAGCCATGGATTGAGCATGATTAAGCCATAAATATGGGGGAATTCATGTATTTAAGCTATGACCATGGGGGAACATTCAGTAATTGAACCCATGGAACAAGAAGGTTACTTATAAAAAAGGAGGATACAGTATCATATGACTTGAGTTGAGGAGAATGAAATTGAGATTTGCACTTCGCACCTCACTATTACTCATTCACCGTTGATAGCTGGCATATATTGGCTTATGTCGTTGCCTCCATCAATCCCAAAAAAATGTATAGATGATGAGAATCCCAAATTAAGAGATTCATCCTTGGAGTCCCATCATCGGTCAATTGGTCAATCCATCCACCCGTTATCAAACATCAAACATGACGTGATGGACAATCTATGATTTGTAGATCTTGAAAACCTTGAAAGTGGGGATCATTGCCAGGTTTAAAGCACCAAAGGGGATATATATATATATACATATATTATATATATGTGGTCAAATATAGTTATATATGATATTATATGTATATACATATATATATATAGGGATATAGCTCCCCAGTTCTTAGGGAACAGATTATATCAGATTATGATATTTCTTGGCATAAATGATGTCATCCTCCATTGGTTCAACCCAAAGCCTCTCCGTTAACGAATCCAGTCAGCACATCCCCGTTGGATGGGGGTGTCCCATGTGCACAGTAAACGCATGTAGGCATGGCTATGTATGTATATATACACAGTAATCCCATGTTTGTTGCTTTAAACAACTTCAAACACGAGTTTTCTCGTTATATCGAGTTGTCTCACGGTTTATCATCAGTTTCCATGTTGAAATAACAAGTTTTGTGTCTATCCCCGGGTTTGAGACAAAATCATATCGCCACATCTGCTGTTATTACACCCAATGTTTCTCCATTTTTGCCAGAAAAAAAACAGTTGGTTCGTTTTCACCTTTCTTTTCTTAGTGAACTTCCCATCAATCACCATAAATTCCCAATTAAATCGCCATAAAATCCCAAAGGAAAATTAAAATCACCATAAAATCACCCTGAAACCACCCTAAAATTCCCATGAAATCACCCTAAAATTCCCATGAAATCACCATAAAAGCGCCGCTTTTACCTAGAAGAAATCCCCAACTGCCTGCCATAGAGCGCACTTGCGGGGCTCTTGCATCGCAGGCGCTTCCTGGGCGTCTCGGTGGACTGCGCAGCACCAGTGCCTGGCGGTGGAAAATCACCGTTTTTTGGTAGGTAAAACCCACTTTTTTACCTATGGAAAATGGCAATTTTGTAGGTAAAACCCACTTTTTTTGTAGGTAAAACTATGGAACATCAGCACTTTTTCTCCATTTTTCAGAGCTTCATCATAGTAATTTTTATTTCTGGAACACCACCATGAGGTAAGATCATCTATGATCATCTAAATATAGGTGAATATAGGTAATGTTTATTCATGTTCAATAGCTATGTTAGTGTACTGAAGGGTAAAAATCCTGATCATATCCAGTATCATTACCATTGATCACATCATATTCAAATCCCCACCGTTGTTGGCATTCCTGTTGGCCATCCCCCATTTGTTGTCGGCCACGGCCCCATTCTTGTTGCTCGTAAAATCATTGCTGCTCACTATTGTTGCTTACAACTTATAACCAACTGATTAAGTGATTGCATGCTATTCCCCCGTTGTTGTTGTTAGCAAGTTGGCTACAATCATATTCTTGGCGCAAAATAACTGTAACTTCTTTGCCGGTGCCCCCATCCCCATCCCTTCCCCACGGTGAAGCCTTCAAGAGTCACTTTCCTGCGTGCAAGTTCCAGGAAGGATCACTTTACCCATCTCTCAATCAGTTGCAAAGCAGAACTGCTGGTCATATTCTCATTGAAACATATTTCGCTTTGACTGTACTTCCATGGTTCGCTTTGTTCTAACGAACTCGTGCTTTTTGTTGCAAATCACATAAAAAGAGAGTGACTCCTGGGGAAGGACATCATATTTGATAATACAATTATGTGTATATATTATATATAGAACTCACAGTCGATCCCAAGCCTCATGTAATTCCATGACTGTTAAGGGACTTGGTCAGTGGGTGTGGTCGCCATAAATGATATAATTCAGATGCATGGTACACGTTGCTACTCGTGGTACTCAAATATGGCTGGCTTGGAAATCCAATCTTTAACAGAACATGCATAATAGACATATACACCCATGAAATCTAACAAAGCATAAATCAGCTCTGGCACCGACTCATTAACATAGCATCCGGTACCGTTGTGCCAGTCATGATTTTCAATCCAAACCAGAGTTTTGGCAACAGGATTGCTAACATGGCATCTGCCCAGGGTTCCCAAAACCTCCAATAGTACATCATAATCATGGCAGCAAGTAGCCAGATTGGCAACATCGACCAGGAGTTTTTTCCTTATTCAATCTATTATGTAAAATTGTTGGCTTTGAAGCTTTTTTGGGTCCAGTAAGGGTGAGCCCCAGGAAGACATCCAAAAACAGTTGTGGTTTGATCTGGTCGGCTGGAGACTCAAAAGAGATAACCTAACATAGCAACCAGGGGCACTTTCATTCTGGATTGGTTGATTGATGTGTTCGGCTTCCTGTTTTCTAAAACATGTTTTCCGTGGAGTTTGATGCAAACATAGCACCTTCCATTTAGTGGCTCCAGCTTTGGAGTATTCGCCATGTTCCCAAACACAGCACGAACACTAACTTGACACTTTTGGGAATTTGTGCTGATGGAGGCGCGGCAGGTGTTAGGTTAGTATCAGTATGATCCCATGAACATGCAAGATTTCAGCTGCTATGTTAGCGGTTCTCAACGAAAAAAACGAAAACTAACATATTGCAAAAAATATATTTTTTTTGCAACAAGTTGGATTTCACGAGAGTATATATATATATATTTATTTATCTATTTATTTACAACCTCAAGCAAATTGAATAATTGTGGTACACCCACAATTTATAAATAATTGCCTACGGAAACCACGGATCTTTCATATCGACGTAAAGTTGTAGGTCCGGGATGGTCCGGGTAGGTCATATCTTGGGGGAAATTCTTCCAATCACCATACACAAATGATGAGAAAATCATCAGTAAATGCAGGCAACTGTCAAACAAATAGGGCGACAGGATGGCGTTGATCAATCCACTTTCCATTCAGATTCAAGAAATGGACCACACTGGGGAGTGCTAATCTATGGATGGCGTGAGCGATGGAGATGTGTGAGGTTAGTGCACAGGCAGCCGGCCCCCACCTCGCTTTCCATTTCACTATGTCGTTTTATCGCTCACCTCGTCTTCCAAACCTGCTCCTGGTTTTATCTTTTCTATGCTTTCAAGTATCACCTGACTCGTATTCTTTTCGCGGCCCTACCTGGTTTTGAACCTGGTTCTGGGGTTCAAACAGGAGTGCTTCCACCGGAAGACTACTGCGCAGGATACTCAAACGAAAGTGTTGCTCAAATGAGGAATGATTGTTAACTTTGTGGAAAACCAATGATATTCCACTTGATGATGATGATGATGATGGTGGTGGTGGTGGCGGTGGTCATGATGATGATAATGATGATGATAATGATGATGATAATGATGATGATAATGATGATGATAATGATGATGATAATGGTGGTGATGATGACGACGACGATTATCGATTATCCAAATAATTTGGATTTGTACTGAAATAGGCCAATTGCATGATATATATATATATACATACATATATATATATATATGTATATATGTATATATATATATGTATATATATGTGTATATATATATATGTATATATATATATATATGCCATATATGTGAATGTGGGATAGTCTTTTTGGGGGGTCAAAGCCATACCAGCATCAAATGGAATTGGAATGTGGATTGATGACGTCCAAGATGACCATCCCAATCTGTTCGCAGCAATGGTTTAATCAGTTTAATCCCAGATGCATCCATGGATAATAGATGACTGGTTGGTGGTTTCAACCATATTGAAAAATATTAGTCAAATGGGATGATTCTTCCCCATATATGGAAAAATACAAAATGTTCCAAACCACCAACCCGGTTTGAATTGCACTTCATGAGTTTTTAGACAAGTCCATTTTTTCGTTCAGAAAAGTCATTGGAAACATGAAAAAAACATCAATGGAATGGAACATACATAAAAGTTCATGTCAACAGATTTTAACATATTTCACCAGTCAATTCATTTCACGTTCAACACGAAATCAGACTCCCCAAATCAAATCAACCGATCCATCCAGGGCCCAACTTCGCTCCTGGCCGCCGCCAATCCGCTACGTGCCTTCAGGGCTGCAGTGGAATCCTCGTGGGATCGAAGCGAAAAGCCATTCTCAGCCGGTTCCAATGTGTCATTCCGCTGGTTTCCTTTTTTTGGCCTTGCTGGTTTCCGCTAAAGGTGAGCTCCGTCTAGAAAAAACCACTTTAAAAATGGGCTTAAAAGAAACATATGTCGCCTACCTCCCAGAATTAGTGGGAAGATTTGCAGGAAAGTCCCATGCCAGCCTCGCAGCTTTCACAGCCCAAATGTTACTGCGAAAGACTGGGATCTGCCAAACTAACAAATTCTAAATCCAGGGGGCTTTATGACCCAAGATGGATCCTATGCCATCTACAGTACAACATCTTTTGCGTGTTTTCAAAGTCACCCCAAGGTTGCAAAACCCTCCAAGAAATGTCATCCAATCCCACCATGAACAGATCCCATACTAAATCAAGGCTTCTGAGGTGGGCATTTCAAGGAAGTTACAACCACTACAGTAAATCTAATATGGAACCCAAAAATGAACAAAACGCACAAGTCCAGTAGTAAAAGAATCTAACTAAGATCTCGATTTCTAAATCTACTAAATACTTTTTTGGGTTCTTGCGATCGGAATTCTTTGACTTCTTCCCAACATTGGATAGTCATTGCTGGTAAAATCCACAGATTTCAATCAGAAACGCCACGCTATTTCCGCACCATCAGACCAGGTACTGCACCCTGACTGTTGCGGCTCACCTGTAGGCGCTGTAGCAAGTCGTAGCCCTGGAGAACGGAACAGGGAGCATTGTTTGAGGCCCTGGTGTTATATGATAATGGTGTGTGATTAATATCTTATAATTAGTCAATGGCACCATTATTGTATATAACATATATCATATCAACATAATTATATATATATATATACATTTGTAACCATTTGTATATAAGTATTGTACCGTTACGTTATATATGGGTAATATGGTCCAATGGCATGTATATCTATAACAAATAACCCGTGATAACCCTGCCTAGGCTAGTTGTAGACTCTGTTGAATTCCTTCCAACATAGTTCAACCTAATTAGTTCAACATACTGTGGATGGTTGCGAAATCCTCACCTTGGTTGAAACCCTATAAAAGAATGGGATGTTTACCACCAACTGGTGCAGGAACCCTCCCAAAAATGTGTGCTTCATTGATGCCGAGGCACTTGATCCAATGTCTGACAGGCCACGTTGCACACCTACGACTGCAATGAGCTCCAGCAGAAGATGACAGCATGAAAATTCTGGTTGAAATTGAGAATCTGGGAGCGGGAATTCCTGGTTTGGGGCTAAAAACTAGGACTCCATCCACAAAAAATCAATGCTTCAACGTATTCCAATTTTCAAGCGCGTCCTTCCAAACCTTTCCAAGTCTGGGCTCAAGCAGCTTCATTCATTGAATGGAAGTGCCCAAAACGTCCGATTGTGGCAACGGCCAGTGCTGGCTTCGACAGAATTATACAGACTTGACCTCACCAAAACATGTGGGGATGTACCAAAATCGTGACTCCTATTTCTGAAGGATCATTTTGGAGTTGTTTAGCTATACAGTAAGTGGAGTTACAAGTAAGTTATGATGAGTCGGCGCTAAGTCCTCGTGTAACTTTCATAACTTGTTCATACCCTTTTTTTTGTTTTGTTGACTTGATGTTTTTTTAAGGTGTGGTGTTGTTACGAGATGGATTGTGTCCTAAAATTTGTATGCCTATTGCTAAAACCCCAACAAGAAACAAACGATTTGGAGTGGTTTCGAAATTTGAATGTTTTTGTTCCCATTTTTTTGTCCCAAAAAAAGTCAGATAGCTTTTTTCCTCGAGGAGATCCGGGGAGAACTCCAACTCCGCTTTCCGCGGATAATTTTCTTCCACGCCTTTAATACTTACATCCGCGGATAACTTACCGTGTCCTACCCCGTGGAGATTCGCAAAGAACTAGCAGCCTGCGGGCGCGCGTCAACTTCTGGAGACATTTCCAAAATTTCTGATGCGCCAGAGAGCATGATAAATGACTTGAGCCTTAATTTGTTAATTAATCATTGTATGCTATGATGCGTGCAACGCCTGTGGAACACATTGTGCAAGTTACAAACACATAGTAAAAATCAACGTGTGAAATAAGCTAAGTCCCTTTGTAACTTTGTTTAACCCTCCAACATGCTAAGTCTGCTAAGTCACACAAAAATGATACAAGTTACGAAGCCACTTAGCCACTTATCTTAGCACTTAGCCATAGCTAACTTACAGTACTGATTGTTATAATTAAATACCCTGAAAATTCGATAACTATGAAGCGATCCTTCAGATACACCCAAGAACTAAAACACTTCCAAACAGGACATGGTCTTCTCATGAATTTCAGCAGAGTCAAATACTCGAAACATGACTCCGACGAGCTGGCCGAACAAGAAAAAAGTGCCAGTTGTTTTATTTCAAGCATGTGAAGGTTGCTTTGTTCAAAGATCTTGGCAAGATAGTTACACAGTACGTTCACCCCCAGATTGTGAAATGCGCTACTGATTCCCGGATCTCCCATGGTCATCCATGAATGGGGCAAGCATCCTTAGACAAAATGGTGGCTTAAAATCTATATATTCATATATATTCTATACATTGAGAATCATTGAAATACCATATTTTGATATATTTTGGATATATTTTGGATTAACATCCATAAGTCTCAGTCTGAGCTGCTAAGCTATTTTGATGACTCTGGCCCCCCCCCTTGGAGGCCCCCGCAAGCCGGGGCCCGACACGCCGCACGTAGCTCGGATTGGTTGGGCCCACTGAAGGGAGCGAAGGAGGGTGACAGGGGCGAGAACTCGTTCACCGTGCGCGGCGCGCTGGTTAGGCCTCCACAAAATTGGGGTGTCCAAGGCAATACCCATGTGACTGGGCACTGGGGTTGCCAATGGGGTTTCCCTAAAAATAGGGAAATGACCCCAAATCCGATGTTTATCATCATTTTGCCCATAAAGCATAATATATGTTTTTTACTGTAACCCCAAAATCATAGAACCATGTTTCCAAGATGATATAAATCAATATCAATCATATTTACCGTACCTCATATTTCCAAGTGTCCAACTTGTTTATGATCTATTTTGGGCTTGCTATAGGCTGTTGCTGCTCTCACAAACCTGCTCAGCGCCAAGTCGCGATGGATCAGCAACCTCGAAATCAGCTCAGTGCGAAGCCCCTCCCGCGGCAGACCCTGATCGCTGCACATCTGCCTGGCTGGGTGCCGCTGTTCCTGTTCCTGGAAAACCACCAACAATGGCACGGTTTTCACAAAAAAGTGCGTTCCTGCCTAAAGTTTTCATAGTTCATCCAATTCCAGAATGGTTCTTGTTGTTGTAGGAAGGCGGTATAGGTAGATGTTCGCACTCCGTAAAAATCAACCCATATCCAAATTGACCCATGTCGGCATTGATCCAGAAATTCTCGTCAAACCCGGTATTGCGATGTAATTCACCCCGCTTCGCGTGGGGTGGCCGCCCACACCGCAGGTTTATTTCGGTCCGTGAGAGGGGCTAAGGGTGGTTTTCCCCCGTGGGGGCTCTTCAAATAAGAAATCCTTCCAAAACATTGTTTTTGACAGTGTTTTTCCAATGTTTCCAGTCAAACAGACGGTAATTTACACGTTTTTTGCCATAAAGGCAGTAAATCCTTCCAAAACATTGCTTTTGACAGTGTTTTTGTAATGTTTCCAGTCAAGCATACGGTAATTTACACGTTTTTTGCTATAACATCAGTCCAAAACACTTGTTTTTGCAGTGTTTTCAATGCTCTGGCATCCAAAAACCCTGCAAAATCTTGCTATGTACAATTTTTTTTTCATTTTTGGCCGTCCAAAATGACCCAAAATTCCATTTCAATACCCTCTTGCGCTCAGACACCCAAAAATCCTCGAAAAATGTCGAAAACACCACCGTATTCTGGTCTCGGTGCGAAACCGTTTTTGGGGTCTGGTCTCGGTGCGAAACCGTTTTTGGGGCCCCCCCCCCCAGCTAAAGCTGATATAGCGACTGCTATATTAACAAATGTCATTGAGCATTTAGTGTTGCTGTTGCCCCCCAATAAGCACGCCTTCACCGCCAAAGCGGTGTGGGCGGATTTTTAATGTGATGCAATGTGACAAATCCAAAACCACAAAGCATCCTATTTATGACTTACCAAAAAACGGGTCGAACTTCAAGAATTGGAGGGTTAAGGGCTCGCCGAATCAGAATGGCACTGGTTGTGATCCTGGGATGGTGCAAGTTGACCCATGGGACCCATGGCCCCCTGTTCGCGCCTCAACCTGTCTGGGCCCATGATCCTTAGGTGCAGGATATGCAAGAAATGCATCAGTTTAAGCAATGTTGTCTACTGAACCTGTTCATGAAATTCCATATCATTGGTCTATTAGTATGGGTTTGTGTGAAATAGGCTACCCCATTCAATCCTATAGCTTATAACCTCATGTTCCGCATATCAATATTGCCAAGTGGGGTATACTAATAATTTTCAATCACACGCGTTACACGTACCTGACAGTATATTGTTGGTTTTTTCCTACTGGATTTTGTATCTCAATGTGGGTTGCTAAGTATTGTTACTTTACCATATTACTATCCCAATGGTATCCTCAGTATATCCCCATAATTATCATTGGTATATTGTGGTATACTATTATGGCAAATTGAGCATGTTGGTACACAAATGTATATACCGCTACTAAAGCTCACAAAAATTGGAGATGTTCCATCTCAGTCTTGTTATCCCAACCATGTTAAAGCCTTAGTTTTGATGGATACGCTCTGGTAATTCAACACAGCCATGGGAAAATCAACATTTCGAATAGGAAAATCATCGAACTAACTGGGCCATTCATCTATACCACACTGGTGTAGCAAACTGTTAAATTACCGGTACATCACCTGTTCTCTCCCCATTCTATCTCCTATGTTTCATGCTTAAACCGCTAAACCCCTCTACTTTTGATGGATACCCTCTGATAATCAAACTTGGCTAGCTGGAAAATCGCCCGAACTAAAAGGCAGCTTACAGCGGGAACATCAACTATTTATATATATATATAATATATATATATTGTACATGAGAAAAAATCCTTTGTCCCCATAGTTGTCATTAAAGCACTACTTTATACTATTTTGGATGGCTAAATTTCTGTTTTTGGTATTAAATCTATTGTTTATCGTGAAATTCCAATTTCTGATGGCTAAAACCAGGTCAGATCGCCAATTTCGATGCGACATGTAGTCACCAATGTAGTCCCCAGTGTTGATTATATATATTGTAACCAGCTCAAAACCCCTGCAGAATGGTGCCCCCCAGTGATGTTTGTTGGTTCATAACCCCCATGAACCAGTTCGTTGTATCTACCATAAACCATAGAATTTAGCCACAGCCATATCTCAACTTGGCTCGGTATCTGAAGGGGGCCCCATCCTGTAGTTTTGCTGAAGATATGGGGGGTTCCTAAAATAGGGGTCCCCCTAAATCATCCATTTCTACAAGTTTTTCCAATATCAACCAACCATTTTGGGGTACCCCCATTGATGGAAACCTCATGAAACCTCCAGATCCACCGCCAAGAGGCCCCAGGTTTGCCGCCTCGTTCGCCAGCCCCGCGGCTTCGCCCAAGGACACGCGACTGGTGCGGCTGACCAGCGAGACGCCACCGGGCGACGGGACCTCGGCCTTGGAGACACGGAAAAAAGTCCCTGGGAGTCGCGCTCCAAAATGGAGGTACAAATGGTAAAATCATTGGAAAATGATGGGAACATGATTGGAAAATGATGGTAAAATCATGGCAAATGATGGGAACATGATGGGAAACTGAAGCGGAAATGATAGGAAAAACATTGAAAAACATTGAAAAATCATGGAACACAATGGACAATAAACGAAGCGGTATGGAAATAACATGGGAAGATCATGGAAAATCCCAAGAACTTTTCATATCGAAACCAAGAACATCCCAGAAACGATTAGAAATTTAAATTCAATTTCGGAAATCAACAAGTTTGGGATTTGAAAAGCAGAAGAACATTCAGGAAGATTTGTTGTTGATCGCCTCAAAATGGCTGCTCCATCGGGAATGCTGTACTGGCGACATGAACGCCCCTCGTAGCATCCCGAAGAGCCAAGTGACTTCACGCGGCGGCTCAGATCTGCTTCGTGTGCGCGGAGGCATCGGGTGCGGCATCGGGGCCATTGGTGGTGATGGTGGGGGGGCTGTGGGCGGCGTGAACGGTGTGTCCTGAGCTTTGGATTTGATACGGGCAACATCAAACCAGTGGAGGCAGCATGGGTTGGAAGGTGAGGTAATGGAGAAACCAAAAAGGACCTGTTTTTTAGTAGTCAACCCTCCATTCTTGGAGGTCAATGTGACCCATATTATACCCCAAAGATCTTCCATCATAATATGGATGGATACAGATGGGCACGTCCACTAAGCATCAGGTTTGGTTCAAAAACATTGTACTGGGGTGTGGTCATGGAGTCATTTGCTTTTTGGTTGCCAAGATGAGGGGTGCATCTTTGCATAAAATTCTCACTATGGTTTGCATTCCACATATATATATATATGTATAAGTATAAGTACACATGTGTAAAAATATATATATATATATGTACACATATATGTATGCACACACACACTGGTCTTGAAAACTCATGGGATTGATAGCTGTGACATTCTTTCCAACACACATCTAAGAATTTAGCACCATCAAATCCTGTGGTTTATCATCATTTTTTACCTCCCATGTTTTGAGACGAACCCATGGCTATACATCCATGTTTGATGGTGAACTCCGAACTCCCCCCTTTGGCTGGAACCAACTCAGCACGTAGGTTGACCCAATCCCTCCCCCCTCATACCAAATATCCACCAAACAAAACTTTGGTTAAATATTGGATGTATACATATATATATATACTTTACTTATAATATATTTATAGGTAGATAGATAGATGGACAGATAGATTGTTATAGATAGATTATTATAGATAGATATAGGTAGATATAGATATAGATATAGAGATAGATAGATAGATAGATAGATAGATAGATAGACAGACAGACAGATAGATAGATAGATATAGAGATTTAGAGAGATAGATAGATAGATAGATAGATAGATAGATAGATAGATATATAGATAGATAGATAGATAGATAGATAGATAGATAGATAGATAGATAGATAGATAGATAGATAGATAGATAGATTAGATAGATTAGATAGATTAGATAGATAGATAGATAGATAGATAGATAGATGGATGGATGGATGGATAGATAGATAGATAGACAGACAGACAGATAGATAGATATAGAGATATAGAGATATAGATAGATAGATAGATAGATAGATAGATAGATAGATAGATAGATAGATAGATAGATAGATAGATAGATAGATAGATAGATAGATAGATAGATAGATAGATAGATAGATAGATAGATAGATAGATAGATGTAGATAGATAGATAGATAGATAGATAGATAGATAGATAGATAGATAGATAGATAGATAGATAGATAGATAGATAGATAGATAGATAGATAGATAGATAGATAGATAGATAGATAGATAGATAGATAGATAGATAGATAGATAGATAGATACATAGATAAATAGATAGATAGATAGGTAGATAGATAGATAGATGGATAGATGGATAGATGGATAGATGGATAGATAGATAGATAGATAGATTAGATAGATTAGATAGATTAGATAGATAGATAGATAGATAGATAGATAGATGGATGGATGGATGGATGGATGGATAGATAGATAGATAGACAGACAGATAGATAGATATAGAGATATAGAGATATAGATAGATAGATAGATAGATAGATAGATAGATAGATAGATAGATAGATAGATAGATAGATAGATAGATAGATAGATAGATAGATAGATAGATAGATAGATAGATAGATAGATAGATAGATAGATAGATAGATACATAGATACATAGATAAATAGATAGATAGATAGATAGGTAGATAGATAGATAGATGGATAGATATATAGATGGATAGATGGATAGATGGATAGATGGATAGATGGATAGATGGATAGATGGATAGATGGATAGAACGATAGATAGATAGATAGATAGATAGATAGATAGATAGATAGATAGATAGATAGATAGATAGATAGATAGATAGAGATAGAGGTAGAGATATTGATATAGATA